TTTTTTTTTTGCTTTTTTAGCTAATATAAAACTATGTTTAGCTTTTTTTAAATCGATCGAACATTGAAACATATTTATTTCCCCGATAATGTCAGAGTAACATCTCAGTGTTGGTAAAGAGACGATCAGTGGAGTCCCGGTCTGGTTTGATGACTTGAATTGTCCAAAAAAACTGGTATATTTTGTGATGATTATTTGAGTCATGAATAAAGAGAATGATTCATGTCTGCCTGTGTGGCTTCTTTTTTCAGCAACGGCTATTCAAACGATTTAAAAGTGGAAGACATGAAGTTCAGTGAGTTCTGGTAGTTATCAGTTTTTACTTTCTAATGTACCCCGAGCTTCAACTGAGTTGGGAGAAACTAAATTCTCCTACTCTGCACCTTGGGGTTGGAATAACCTCCAGAAAGAGCTCAAATTAGAAAGTCTAGTGTCCATTAATGAATTTAAAGCAACCATGAAGAGTGTAGTGTTGGAGATATGTGCTTGTCTTTCTTGAGATGCTCAATGTGTTTTAACATACTGCTCTGATTTTACTATGTAAAATGTAATATGTATGAATTTCTTGTGGTTTGGCTGCTACCTTGGCCAGGTCTCTTTTGAAAAAGAGATTCTGAATCTCAATGGGACTTCCTGGTTAAATAAAGCTTAAATAAAAAAAAATAAGATAAATCAAGATAAAACCCAAAAGGGAGACTTTCACCAGTTAAAGAGCTAATTCCATCTGATGTGCACGTTTGTACAAATAGTAAACAGACCTCCACAAAAATGATGACCCAGTTTCTCTTTTTATACTTTCTGACATGGAAAGTGAGTTTTTTTACTTTGGGAAACACAACTTAGTGCAGAAATCCTTTCAGGTGATGTTTTTTTTCTGTTATACTTATATTATATTCCTTGCTTAAGTTATCAGACCTCGTTTGAACATTAACTAATTAATCCGCTCAGTTGGAGCTAGTTCTAAACCTGCTGCACAACATTTGTTAAATGTCAGTTAACCTGCTTTTCCTGTGCAGATCCCAACTGAAAACCACTTGTGTGGGTTCATATCTCCACTGAGGGCCGTTTGCATGTGCCTGATAACTAGAAATGACAGCAAATAGAAAACACCAAATTGAATTTGATCTTATTTATTTTCATTTCCTCAAACAAAATAAATATCTTGATTAGAGAAAAATCAAATTCACAGTATGTACATCAACTTCAAAGGAGCTCAGCTGATAAAAGACTGTATCAAAGAGGTTTTACATTTTTCTTCCTATGTGGTAAGCGTATCAAGCAGAGGTAAACAAGATCTAATTATATTCCTATAATACATCAATATTAAGCTAAATCGACTCATCTTCTCAAAACCCAAAGAGAAACAGCCTGCTGAAGCAGTAAGTCTCTCCTTCCCCATTTTCTCCTCAGGTTTGTTTCAACTGTACAAAACATGACAAATTATTAGCAAATATTAACATGGAACCTCATCTTAATGCATAAAAACTAATTGTAATCGAGTTCCGTCTGTTCACGGCCTTTGTGTAAAAATCAAACACAGGCGGTGAAGGCGTTCTCCTACCTGTAAAATACTTATTCACACGGGAAATTATTGCACAAAAAATACCTTAAATAAAGCAAAA